TCTTTAGAATCATCCAATGCATTTATACAACTTTTGCTAATTCCACTAAAAAATGACAGATTCTGAAAGATAACATAACGGGATTGACTCTCAAGTCAGTGTCAGCTACACGATAGGAGAGTCGTGCTGAAAGTGTTAAAGCTATCAGATTTCAATGCGCCGACATTCGAGAGGCTCTACTTCAGGTATTTGACATTGACATATTAATAATTATACATTTTCTCTGGCTCTCCTCGAAATTTAACTTATCTTTTTTTCTTCTTAATTTCCGGTATCTGATGTTGATAATGATTTAAATACTAGCAGTGAGGCTAAAGGTTTGGCAAATAATGAACTTGGTGAATTTGAATTTATAGTGGCAATAGTCATTTGGTATGAGGTATTGTATGCTGTTAATTTAGTAAGCAAGCACTTGCAAGCAAAGGATATGCTTATTGATGTTGCTATTGAGAAGGTGCAAGGGCTAATTTCTTTCTTCCAAGAGCACAGAGAAAATGGTTTCTTAGAAGTATTGGAGGCAGCCAAAGGAATTGCACTTGAGCTAGATATCGGCACAACATTTCGTAAAAAGCGAGAAATTAAAAGAAAGAGACAATTAGATGAGAACCCAGATGACACAAATGTTGTCACACAGTCTCCAAAGGAATTATTTAGAACCACCTATTTTATACCTATTGTTGACCAAGCTATTGCCTTGCTTACAAGAAGATTTGAACAATATCAGGAGTACTAAAAGAATTTTGGTTTCTTATTTACTTCTGACTCGTTGCAGTCATTGGATAGTAACAACTTGAAATCTTCTTGCGACAATCTTGAAGCAGTCCTTAAAAGAGATGGGAAATCTGATATTGATGCTAATGAACTATATACAGAGTTGAGATTTCTTCAGGATTTCATTCCAAGAGAAAATATGGGTCCACTTGAAATCCTTAAGTTTATAAAGCGGCATGATTGTTTTCCCAATGCGGCTATTGCATATAGAATTTTATTGACCATTCCTGTGACTGTTGCTTCAGCGGAGCGGAGATTTTCTAAGTTAAAGCTATTGAAGGCATACTTGCGTTCTACAATGACACAAGAAAGACTTAATAGTTTGGCTACGATAGCACTTAAGAGTGGATTGCTCGAGAAGATTAACTATGAGCATATTATTGAAGATTTTATTTCAAAGAACACTAAGAGAATGTTGTTATTCAAGTAAAGATTAGTTCAAAAGGTACTATTCTTGATATATCATATTTGCTCTACAGTATATACATTATTTTGGCTATATTTGAAACTTTGATTCAGGTCTCACTTATAGCTTCGAACAGGGCCTGCAAATCTGACGGCACGGCCCTGAACCCAAGTTAAAGTTAATTATTATCCTAATCAGCCAGCGGTGACCATAATCAACGAGCAAACCTTTGCAGGTACCTAAAGACTGTAGAAGCTAGGTTCATTTAGCTTTTGAGATTGTGAAAGCTGCCTCGTGGAGTTGGTTGGTGTTTGGAGACCATACCACTTCTACAAGTTGGATTGTGGAATCTGATAAGATCCAAACAGGCCCTAACATGGGGTAAGGTAATGGAGCCCTTGATGAAACTCGGATTCTAGGCCTGAGGAGCGCTTTCTGCATCGAAGTCGTCGAGGCCGCATAGTGCCATCAAGGCCTTGACAACCATGCTGTTGAGCGGGCTCCTTGAAAAGGCTGAATAGCGCAGGAACAAATCATCCGAGGTAAGTCCCTCCTCCTCCAAGATGCCCAGCCACTTCACGAAGATTTGGCGAGCCCATGCTTGGGCATCACCCCTGGGCCAATTCCTGGCTACAATGTGTACGCTCTTATCTTCCTACATCGCTGTGGCTGAGCGGGTCTACGCTGGGGGCTTGCAACAGAGCCGGAGCCAGGGGCGCGATATCGCGTCGACGAACGTAGTCCCTGTGATCCCCGTGTTGCGCGGCTGCTCTAGGGCGACGGTCGTCAACGGGGGGCCTGGCCTGGCATCACTGCCGCCAGGCCAGGAGACGCACAGCCCGGGCATGGCCCGGCCCACAAGTCTTGCGCCTGACGTAGGCCTGAAGTGCTCCGCCCACGTGCGCCTCGCTAAGCAGTCTATCGCAGCAGGGCTTTGGTGTAGGGGCGGCGGGTCGGTGTGCGGCGCGTTTGCGTCTTCCTACAGAGGTGCGATCACTATGGGCGTGATGGTGCGCACCTCTCCCGCGACGGGTTGTAGAGACTCCCTTCGCGATAGAGAAGGGTCAGCGGAACTCAAAACCTCCTGAATTGTGGAGCGTGCCATGGCCGGTGGGTTTGGTGAGCCGTCATCTTTGTCATCAGTGTTGTCTAGAGGGCACCTTGGGTTGCAGTGCTGGTGAGTTTTCAGAGTCGGCTCCCTCGGCGTGGACCGGGTCGGCGAGCGCAACAATGACATAGAGTCAAACTGATGAAATTGTTTTAGAAACTTTTAGTAGGGGCGCGTACAAGGTTTCAATATCAAATAATACGCACGCTATACAAATATCATTCTTCTCCACCAAAAACCAGGGTCAACCAAATGGGCTTAAAATTTAAGACAAAATCACAATATGCATATCTCCTACTTATACAAAATTAAATCCTAGCCTAATAACTCATAATTTTTCTAAAATCATATCTATCTATGCATAACTAACTATCTGAAAACTGTAACTAGTAAATCTAACCGTCTCTAATCAACAACTACGGCGTAGTCAAGTTCCACTGACCCCAACCACACAGTTTACCGTCCTTGTTATGTCTGAAAGAACCTAATATCTCTCTCTCCACCCTAACTATATCTCTCTCCACCGTCCTTGTTATGTCTGAAAGAACCTAATATCTCTCACCACCCTATGCTCTAAGTTAGGGTGGATGGGCATGGCAATTTGGTTTCCTCTAATATTTCAGAGTATCTCTTACCACCCTATGCTCTAAGTTAGGGTGGATGGGCATGGCAATTTGGTTTCCTCTAATATTTCAGAGTTTTCTGGATTTATAACTGCATAGCTCCTTAAAACATAAGCATAACTGGTAGCTCTATCTCCTACAACGTTTGGATGGCATCCTAGGCATGGTGGTAGGAGTATATATAATAGTCCTCGATGTTAAATGTTAATCTAGCTTATAAGCAAGCAAACCGCTGGTGAGTCATCTGAAACCAATGTTGTATCTTTCTTTTATCATGAGTGCACTATGGAATCATCGAACATCAATATTTTGGATGGCACGAAGGAAGCAAAAGCGAAAAAGAGAACACACCTGGGCCGCGCGGTTAGTAGTCAGGTATCCTCGTCGTAGCCCAACAGCAGTTTGGGCTCGCTTCCGCGTGGTTTGAGCGCTAATTGATTGCTGGTCGGCCGATGACTTGCATGCGACTGGTCGGACTGGATATTATCGCTTCGTGGGGTAGCTAAACGTATAGTTCCCGATCTCATGATCCGTTAGATTTCAATCCAGCGACTGCCGAAAAAAGCATTGAGAAGGAAAACTGCATATACGTCGTATACATGCTGTGGTTAATTACATAAATCCGCGTCATAGTGCCACCAGCCAACAACAATCCTGCGTTCGCCTACACCGATCCGCAGCACAGCCTAATCAGAGCCGTCCGATCACGCAGGAACCGACCTAATAAGTCTGTTGCGCGTCTCGCGTACGTGCCTATATAAATAGCGCCCCCCCTAGCCAAATTCATCACACGGTCACGGCTGAAGAGCGACCTACTACGACTACAAGGCATCATCAGTGTAGCAGTCGCTTGCTAGCACACACGATCTGTGAGAGCCTGAGAGGTAACTAAATAGACCCACCTCCTTCTAGCCTGTTCGTTTGGCTTGTGCTTGTCGTATACGATCGTAAATTTCCAGTTAGAACATTATTTTTCTCTCACACAAACCAGCCAGCAGTACTTCTTCACGAACCAGCAACGATACGAACCAACCAACCTAACATGCTTTCATCTTTAGTTACTCTCCTACTCTCCTTATTACTAGTACTTGATTTAACCGTGCAGTATTCCGGTGATCTATATTCTTGCTTTATTTGTTGTGCATATACCTAGCTACATGTTGGCCATTGCCATGCTTTGTTGTTTGTATACGTCAACTGGCCGGCGCCATGTTTATTTGGACCTTGGCGGTTGTTGCTTTGATAACATGTATGTGTTTCTAGGGTTTTAATGTGTAAAATTATGGGTTGCAAACTCTAATATGCATGATTACACTAGCTAGCAGTGATCTATCATCCCCACTCTGCTCAGAGGTTATTCACCATTTATGTCGTACAAGTGTTTTGATAACTTTGGTTACATGAGTATCGAGTGCACATGAATGGTGAATAACTCGCAGTCCTATTCCCTCGATCTCGACCTTATCGGCGTGTTCGCTGGTTGGTTTCTGGACTGATAAGCTCGGCTGGCGCTGGTTTATTGTGAGAGGAAAACACTATTGTCTGACTGATAAGCCCTGACTGAAACCAACAACCGAACATGCTGTATATCTCTACACACATGCTTCTGTGTACTGGTATGCCCTGATATGGTAACAGAGAGGAAACGGCAACTCAACAGTAATTAGTGTTTCTTTAGTATCCAGGTGATGAATCAGGTTTATTCAGCTCTGAAATAGTACTGTACATACCATCCAAAATTTTATCGAATACATACATATACCATCCAACAATGCTCGAAACACCATGAAGCCCCTGCTGATCGGCCTTTATTTGCACTGTGTATAGTTCCCACATCTCAATCCATATACTTCTCTTTATCTGCATACATGTTCTAAATTTATTTTCTTACTATTACATTTACATGATTAATTAGGCATATGCTACGTGTGTGACAGTAGTACTTCCGTGCACATATAATTAGATGCAGATACTGTTATATATAATAATACATACTTATTTCTGTTCCTCAAAAGCATTTTAATTTGAATTAAAATGTAGTAGTACTCATGATTTATTTTGTTCATGATCAGTTTACTATTTTGTTTGTAAGATGGCTCGTACTAAGTGTACAGAAGTCGACCGGAGGAAAGACACCAAGGAAGCAACTCGTTTCAAAGACATTTGTATGTATATATGTAAAAAATTTGCATGTTAAGTATCATCAGTACTTGCGTGTTGAAAGTAGATTTTAACATTAGTATGACTTGGTGACCAGATTGCTGCTCGCAAGAGAGTGCCGGTAACCGGAGGAGTGAAGAAGCCTCGCCGTTACCGCCCCGGAACCGTAGCCCTTCGGTATGTGCAGCAAGAAGTGGAACACATCTAATTTCATTTCATTTCATGGTTTTGCTTTTGCTATCAATTGTACGGTTGTGTTTTTTCATGAAATTAACCGTGTCACAGCTGAATCCGAACCTCACATTTAGTTAGTTTCTTCCAGTGAAATTCGCAAGTATCAGAAGGGCACCGAGCTGCTCATTAGGAAGATGCCCTTCCAGAGGCTCGTCAGGGAGATTGCCCAGCTTCATAAGGTACGTATGGTTGCTAATTTGATCACTACATGCATGCATGATCTGCATTTTTTCCTTGTTTATTTTGAAACAGTTGTAAGATCTAAATAAATAAATGCAACTTCTTCATGGCTACGTATGTATATGCACATGCAGAGTGACCTGCGTTTCAAGAGCCATGCGATCCTTGCTCTGCAGGAGGCGGCAGAGGCGTATCTCGTGGGCCTCTTCGAGGACACCAACCTGTGTGCCATCCATGCCAAGCGGGTCACCATCATGCCCAAAGATGTTCATCTGGCTACCAGGATCCGTGGCGAGAGGCACTAACCGTATCGCGTCGTCAATGGAGCTACCGATCGACAACCTGCTGGCTGCTGCTTAGTTTATTTGTGGTCTTATGTTTTGTCAAGAAGTGTTCGCTTAAGTTTGTGTCGTCAAACTAGCTAGTTAATGCATTGCATGGTAGCCTCCTAGGTTTTCTTTTGCTGGTGTAAGATATTAAGCTTCACGTAACTGCAGTTATATCAGTCACATTTTCCTGCTTGTTTACCTGGCTGTTCAATTTCCTGGCTGCTGAATTTCCTTTGATGAAGTCGTGATACAAGAAACAATGCATAAGCGCGTCAGTTTTTGGATTCAGTCCCAGTAATTAAGGTGAAAAAAATGGTGTCAGGTTGTGGTAACTAGCCAATTGCACGCAACAAAGTTTTGTGTTACCAAATTCCAAGTGATTGGACATCGTTGACGACGATATGATAAACTCTGTCACACCTTACAACGGCACAATCCTGGTCCTCTGGATTTACATGGGCCTCTCTAGTATTTGATTTTCATCTGGAAAAAATCCACATTACCTCCTCAACTTTTGCAATTTTTTTTATGATGGTCTAATTATTGTATGCTTTAACTGTAGTAAAAATTTCATATTCATTTCTATTTGTACACACTTTAAACTATTTATAAAAACTATTTAACAAGCATAAAACGAAATAAATCCAATGAGCATAAAATTTTTACTACAGTTAAATCATACAATAATTAGCTGACCATTAAAATTTCACCACAATTGGACCATAGAAACTATAGCTATGAATTAATTACAGAAAAGCATAGATCTAAAACTACAACAAAAACTTTGTATTAAAGTATACCATATTATATGTTCATTGTGTAGATCTACACATGTGGAGTCAAAAAAAATAGATTTTCTATTTTATGATTTTTCTACGATTTACTATGATTTTTCAAAAATTCAGCCAAAATAAATAAAAAAGAAAAAATAAAACCGCATTTGAAACCACCTATAACCGGGTCAGTGGCAAAACGAATGATTTTAAAAGTTAAGGAGATAGTTTATCTGGTTTTAGGGTTTAAAGAGGAAAACTAGACTTCCAGGATGGTTCATAGAAGTAAAACGGACTTTTTCCTTTTGATATACAAGCAGTGGTCCAAAAAGGCCTTCACGGGAAAAGACGTGGTCCAAACAACACAGGAAGGCCAGTCAGGCCCGCAAATGAAGAAGCGGCCCTGCCCACAATAAGAGCAAAGACGGAGTTGTTTGCCGCAGGAGTGTGCACAACCTGTTTTCTATTTTGATAAGTTAAATTGCACCACAGCACGACTTTTTCCTTTTTTTTTTTGGAATTCCTTTTTTTTATGGGCGTGGGTTAGCAGTTTTTAGGTTGGGCCTGTCCATTCTATTTGTTACAGCCCAATAGTGTCTGGGCCATTGCAAGTCTGTTGTCTTATCCGGTGCTACAAATAATGTATTCATAATAAACAGTAGTCAGATATCATCAAATAGTGTGACTAGTTAACTGTACACCTTTCCATCTTAGGCTATGTTTGGATCCTCCGGTTCTTGCCAGTTTTTAAGAATGTGGCTTTTAGAAACTGGGTCAGATCCAAACACCCCCATTTTCTTTTGCCATTTTTGGTTGGATTCTTAAAAACTAGGAAGGTGTTGATACCTAACTTTTACTAGTTTTTATGATCTATTGGTATAGAAAGTGACCAACTAGTTAATATTTGTAGTTTTGTTGTACGTTGTGATCGGAGGTGGCCTAACACTCAATGACATATGATATATACTGGTTCGGGCAACGTGCCCTACGTCCAATGTGGGTCGGTCGGTGACTTTATTCCTGAGCCCAGATGCTCGAAGTCTGTAGTGGGGTTACAAACGAGAAGGAGAAAGGAGGGGTATACGACAGGCCCGGTCGGGTCCGACTGGAAGGGTTGAGGGCGACCGGAACTCCGCTATGAGCTTGTAGTCTAAGCGTGTGCTTGTGGGGCTTTGAGCTATCGATCTAGTGAATCTGAACTTGGGGGAAGTCGACTTCCTTCGTTGGAGGGAGCGCATCCCTTTTTATAGAAGAAGGGGATGGCTTTTACAGGTGAGAGGGAGAGAGTACGGATGTTACTAAGTCTTGTTGCCCATGCCGATGAGGACAGTGATGATGGTAGGCGCCCACAATACTGTTGACGTCACTGTAGAATGTCAGGTGCACATGGGAGGTTGCGTTGGCTTCTTCAGGAAGCGTGGATGTCGGTACTTGCAAAATACTATTGGTATGTGAGGAGCCCTACCCTGTGTACCAGGTATGGTGAACCCTGGTGCCCACTATCGATGCCCAGAGATATGTGAGGGGCTTTTTTGCCGTATGGGAGCCCAATGACGCCTACAATCATCAGACACAAACGTCTTGTGCCTACAATCTTTGTTTGTGTCGTATGTTGAGGAGCACTGTTCCCTCAGCGTGTCATGTGGTATGGTCCCGGTATCGTGGTTTGACTTTGTGCATTGCCTTCTCTGTTTGCCCTGGTCCCTTTTGAGCGGGCGTCCCCGGTCGGATGGCCCTACAGTCGGCCCTAGCCGCGCCAGTCGGAGAAGAGTGGTAAGCGGGCTTCCTACGGGGTCCCCGGTCGGAGACGCGGGGTCGGGGTAGGAAGCGGTGTTCTGGGCTAGGCCTTTTCGATTGGAGAGACCGCCTGGAGGCGGCTGGTGCCCGAAGCGAATGCTCCGGTCGGAGAGGTGGGCCAAAGAAATTTGATGACCGGGCGCTTGTTCTTTTGGGTAGACCTTCCGGTCGACGACCGGACTTATCCTTTTGGCCTGTTGTGTTTTAGACTCTTGGGTCGGCCCATGAATTACGTGCTGTTTTCCTGGGCCGAGCCCTGGCGTGGAAGCCGGTCCCCGAGGGACCCTGGGTTTATGAACCCGATAGGAGCCCCCGAGCCCCCGGGCGATTTGAGTGGAATCGTCCGGGGGATTTTTGTCTTGTTTGGCAGTGCTTGCGCCTGCCGCACTGGTGCAGGTGTAGCCCCCGAGCCCCGGGCGGTTCGGCGAACTGAACCGGCCGGGGTTTTCTGTGATGTCGATGGGGAGGTTTTTTGTTGTGTGTGGCAGGTTTTTCATGGTGTAGTGTAACCCCGAGCCCCCGGGCGTTCGGTAGAACCATCTGGGGGGTGTTGTTTCAGCGTGTGTGCATGTTTTTAGTTTTGAGACGGTTTTTTGTTTAACCACGGTGTCGTTGCGTAGCCGAGGCGGTGAGGTGCGGGGATTTGGATTGAGACAGAACTTACTGATCCCGGCGTCGGTGCGCGCCGTGGACCGGGGGGGAAGGTTAGTTCGAGACAAACCCTAGCGTCGGTGCGCGCCACGGATGGAGATAGCTCGGCTTGGACGTGTTAGAGCTCACTAATCTTTGGCGTCGATGCGCCATGGGATCGAGTGAGGCGGAGCCGCGAATGGACCCGGGCGTCTGTGCGCGCCATGGATCGGGAGAGTTAGTTTAGTTAGTTCCAGAATCGGACGGGTCGGAGCTCGTGGATCCTGGGAGCGCAGTCAGAAGTGAAGTCATTTACGCGAGTTTAGGAGTCACGGTCCTAGGTTTATTGGAGCGCAGTCGGAAGTGAAGCCGTTACGCGAGTTTAGGAGTCGCGGTCCTAGGCGTAGCCGGATGTCATAGATCCTGTCGATGCGAGTTCGGGGTTGCGGTCCCAAGAGCCATAGCCAAATGTCGTAGATCCTATCGACGTGAGTTCGGGGTCACGGTCCCAAGAGCCAAAGCCGGATGTCATAGATCCTATCGACGCGAGTTCGGGGTCGCGGTCCCAAGAGCTATAGCCGGAAGTGAAGCCGTTTTGAAGCCGAAGCATAGTTAGTTTGGTTAAAGATCGGATGAGGTGATGCTCGCGGATCCTAGCGTCGGTGCGCGCCGTGGGACCAGGCGAGTCAGAGTCATGGATCTGGCAAGTTTGAGGTCGCCGTCTTTGGCGTTTGTCTTGAGCCCCTGAGCCCTATCGGGCCTTTGTAGGGGTCGATGTGAGTATTTTGCGTTACCCCATCCTCGGTTCCTCACAACCGGAGGGGCTGAGTTTCGTCGCCTGTCCCGATCACTCGGGCTCGAAGACTAGCTCGGTGAGTTCGCTAACGGGTGTGATCGAGTGGAATCCGGGTCTGTCGTTCGTGACAGGGTTGGCATAGCCCTCTTGTGACATTCCACTACTCCTTTACCTACAACCCGGCAGATGCCTAGGTCATTTTGGAGACCGATCTAGGTGGCCTAACGGCCTCCCCTCGATAGAGATTCTGTGGGCCTGGCGAGAGGTTCAGGATCAAATGAGAAGGTTGAGATGACCCGGTCTGCCGGACCGGGCGAGGGCCGCATGGTGCTCATCTACGGTTTTCTCCCCTAGCTCTGTTGGTTGCTCATGTCGAATGAGGCAACCACCGCTCTGTGATGCAACACGGAGCATTCTGATGCATCTCGCTACACGTGTGATGCTTAGTTCCCGAGCCCCCGGGCGGTTCATGCCCTAACCGTCCAGGGGGTTTAGGCATATGGAATGAATGCGTGTATGGATGCATGAATGATTTAAAGAAATAGAGGGGTTTTTGATAGTGTTTACCTTGACGACTGGAGTGACAGGGCTCGGAAAGCTTCAGTCAGAAACGTCCGACCGGGACCCATGCTCGTCGTTTGTGACAGAGTTGGCATGGCCTACATGGGGTGTCCCTTCGCTTCCTGCCTGTGTCCTGGTGGCTGGTTGGTCTCCCAGTGGGCTGGTTGGTCTCCCAGTGGAGATTTCATTTTTGGTCTCCCCAGGTCTGTCCTGGGGAAGTGGGGACCTGCCTGCCCGTGGTGACGCTTCGGTTTTCATGCCTGGTCGTGCGATAGTGGTGGGCCATACCAAGGCCACGTTTCGCCCTGCCAGGCGATGTTTCGTCTGACCCGGCGTTGCTCCATCAGTCAGTGTGCGCCCCCTCGGCCAGGGCGTGTCCCGTCGTTTCCCATCCGCATTGAATCAGAGAGAAGGCAGAG